CAGAGCAACAGAGTTGGTGGTGTTGGCCAACTTATGCTCCTAGAGTCTTTCTGGACAAAAGATGCTTGAGTGTTTACTGTGGGCCAGGGGTGATGACACACCTGGATGATGGTTAACTCTCATGCTCTACAGCAGAGTGAACTGTAGGGTTTCTTGAGGCTGAGGAAAGAGCCAGCAGTAGCCAGAGATGAATTTCCTCACACGAAGAGAGACTGTAGATGAGAAGTCCACAGTAACAGTTTAGTGTCTCTGAAGGGGAAAGTACCCCAAAAGTAAAGGTCAGCTTTAAGACTCTGTCCAGCCCAAGGAACACCTCATGACAACCCTAGAAAGAAAAGTAGGACTTTTCCTGCCCCTTTCCCCCTCCCTAATCTTGTCCACCTACAGCTCTGGCAAGGATGGGAACTGAGATCGGCAAGATGGGGTGGAGACATTGTAGAGCAAGTCAGCAAAGAGAAAAGGAGACGAGGAGACATCCTTAGTGGAAATTTAAAATGTTTATTATACTAGACTGGACATATTAATTACTATGCAGTTTTTTATTATCAGAAAGTGATTTCAAAAGTAATAGGACTTCTTCCAAATTTCACCCAGGGGTAAGGGAGAAATTAGCCTCAAATGATAAAATTAAAAAGTCAGCAGGTTACATATTTAGTTGCTTTTACATTGCATCCCACAAGCCGTGTTTCTTCAATGTAGCTGTGATATACAAATAAAATTGTCTCCATCCCATGTGCTTCGGCGAGTCCAGAATTCCCCTCTTCACCCCCCTACTCCTCCCCCCACACGCAGAGTATCTCCAGGAATTCTCTGGATATATATGATGCATTCCTGTTCTTGTCTTATCCTTTATAGCTGCTCTTTTCTCTCTGCCCTACACTAACCCAAACATTAGAACATTTCCCTTGATATTTTAAAAATATCTCCCACAAAGGAAGTTATGCTCAATAGACTCTTGCTGACAATTTGGGGTTATAGGCAGGGAGTAGTTTTCTGTGCAGTATAGAAGTTAGTTTAAAATAATTAAATATTAGACATGACAGATTCTAGAAGTTTGTTGCCCGTATCCATCTCATGGCACTTCATTCTGGTCAATTTCTAACTCTAAAGTTGCCCACCCCTACCCCTCACCCCTCCAGCTATGTTGCCGACTGTCACACTCTTAGAAGACTGTTTTTATAGGTTTCCCAACTCTTCCAGTTATTAGCTGTAGAGCCTGGGTCAGGTTACTTAACATCTTCCCTTCTTACTTTCCTTAAATATTAAATTGGGATACCATTAGGAGCTACCTCATAGGGGGAAGATTAACTGGGTTGACACCTATAAAGCAATTAGCATAGTGCCTAGCACAGAGTAGACATTAAAATACTCAAAGATAATAAAGTACTAAGTAATAAAGAATTTAAGGGTAATAAAGTACTCATCTGTCTCTTTGGTTTTTCTACTCATTGTCATTATGCCCTAGAGGGTAAGGTTGTATGGGGGTAGTCTCCTTCTCATATGAAGAGACCTCCTCAAAGCATTTTCCTAAGTGAAACAGTCCACACCCCAATAGAATGTGTTACCTCCTTGAAAATAATATTTTTCTCTCCAGGACATTTATGTGAAAATATAAAGTAAAAAGATTGGTAGGAGATAGACTTAAATATTAGATTGTAGGGATATAAGGATATCAAAGGTTATTTAATTCTCTGTGCATATTGTATTTTATAGTTAACACCTGAATTACTTTTTTTTTTTTTTTGTGAGGAAGATCAGCACTGTGCTAACATCTGCCAATCCTCCTCTTTTTTTGCTGAGGAAGACTGGCCCTGGGCTAACATCTGTTCCCATCTTCCTCCACTTTATATGGGCTGCTGCCACAGCATGGCTTGCCAAGCAGTGCGTCAGTGCGCGCCCAGGATCCGAACCAGCGAACCCCGGGCCGCCGCAGCAGAGCGCGTGCACTTAACCGCTTGCGCCACTGGGCCGGCCCCTGAATTACTTTTTTTAAAATCAGAGATCTTACTCATTTTCATGCCCTACTAATAATTTCAAGGACATAGGCAATCAAGGGGCTTATTCAAAGAGGGTCTGGGACATTGAGGGTGGCTCCTTAGGACCCCTCTTCCTGCATTAGATGGTCAGTCTCTGGCCCAGAATAATAGATGAGGTCTCTGAGTAAGGTTTTGTGATATTACCTAACACAGCACAGTGAGTGTTCAGTCCATGAAATATCTCCATTTTATATCCCAGCTCAAATGACATTCTCTAGGGAGTCATACCTCATAAATTCATAGATTCTGGGTTTATTTACTATAAGCAATACTTACACAGGAATATCCTGTTAAAAACTCTAAATAGACAAGGCTCATTCTCCTAGCAAAGAATATAAGACTAACTAGTGGTAAAATGGTTTATGCTTACAATTCATTTATTCAACATGTAAAGTACTAACTTGTAAAGTTCAGACTTTCTGTTATTAACAAGACATTACACATTTTTAATGAGATATTCCAAAACTTTTGAATCATCAGTATGGGCAGAGTGTAAATTTGCCTTCCTGAAACTAGTATAGACAATTTTCTTAGTCTTTATATTATTTCATCTATAACATTAATGTGATTCACAGAGCACACTTTAAATAATTCTGGTCTTAAAAGATATTCAACCAGGGGTCGACATCATTTAAAGCTTTTTTAATCAGGAAGAAGAGAAAAAGAGACACTTCTTTCTCAAACAACTGACAGGGTCTTTAAGCTAATACACAGGAAGGTTTTGAAACCTTGCTTCATCTCAGCCTTCCTAACACCCTGATCTCAACAGATACACCATGGATGCGTATCTACTTTGGAAATGTGGTTGCTTTAAGCTAGGGTATAAGAAAGAAGAAAATGGAACTATACAGCATTATGTCCTATGATATATTCTACCCATATGTTTTCCAGCTCTAACTGAATCCATGGATGGATGTTTCCTATCAGTAACTTTTGGCTACCTAGTTCTCATTTGTATTTATAATGTTTCCTTGCCTCAGGTACAAATATCTCTCAATATATGTGTAAATGCTTTTCTTTCGGAGACTTGACTGAAATGATTTTTATCAAGCTGGCAGGTATTCTCGATGCCAGGGTCTGGACCCCAGAGACATTCTCAGTTTGACTCTGAATCGCAGAATACATCTAGTCCCACTCGAATTCCTTTCTTCTACTCCTCTCCAAGCCCCCACCCCATCCCACACTCCCTTTGCTTTTCATTTTTCATTTTTGTTTTTATTTGGGGATAGGGATATGAAATACAGAGAAGCAAAGATGAGTTTTAAAGATTAGAGGAAAGGGAAGAAATAAAATGACAGAATAATGGGAGCTATTGGAAAAAAAGAATCCTCTTTTATCACCTTATTTTATATTAGTAACCTATCTTGTTTACTCTTCCCTGTACCTAAAATACCAAGATAAAACTATCCAAAGTGGTATCACAAGTGAATAAGACACATCTCAATCCTTATTTTACAAGAATAAACACGCTCTCTTAAAATGATAGAAATATGTACTTGGTGAAAGACTGGAAAATGCAAAGTGATAATGAGGCCACTAAATGCCTCAATCTTCTGCAAACTGGGATCTGATTATCTACCTGTAGAGAACCATTTGAATTTATCCTCACTGATTGACAGTCCTTGAAACTACTCCAAAAAAGTGAATATGGGAGCTCAATTGTATAAGTCCACTGTCAAATCCATTTTCATTTAAAGGTACGTATAGCCTTCTGTCCAAATAATTTATAAGGTACACAAAAAAGAGTTAACAAGCAGGCCTGGGACTGCTATCTTTAGGAAGTCCTGCATGCAAGGTTGGCCCTTGGCCAGAGTCTGGGAACTTAAATCATGAACAGTTCCCTATACTGATATAAAATTCCCTTAAATGATAAGAGTGGCTCACTATGCATAATCTGTTTGTATAAACAACATAGTTCATGCTGCACACCTACTTTCTATCCAGGAGTCTGGAATTTTGATACATGCTAGGAAGAAGGTGCCACATGACCACTCTCCAATTAAAAATCTTGGGCATTGAGTCTCTAATGAGCTTCCCTGGTGGACAACACTTCTCACATGTTGTCAAACTCATTGCTGGAATAATTAAGTGTGTCCTGTGTGACTCCACTGAGAGAGGACTCTTGTGCCTGGTTTCCTGCAGATTTTACCCCATGTGCCTTTTTATTTGCTGATTTTGCTTCGTATCCTTTTGCTATAATAAATATTAGCTATGAATACACTATATGCTGAGTCCTATAGTCCTTCTAGTAAATCACCAAACCTGAGAGTGTTCTTGGGGACCTACAACACACAAGAGTCTATTGAAATGTCTACATTAAGATATATAGATTCTAAATAAAAATATTTATTGTCTACATGCTATGTGAATGGAATTATGCTAAGTGAAACCAAGGCAAGAAGCCTAGACTTCTTTTAAGAAATTCACAGTCTGGTGGCCATGTCTGCATATAGAAGTGTATAAAAAGAATATTCAATTAACTGAGTCAAAACAGAATAAGGAAAATACAAGAAGCTTACTTCAATGGGAGTTGTGAAGATGTAGACACCTCATCTTGTTCAAATTATCAGGAAAGCTAGAGGCATGTAAATTAGCCTTAAAAGAACAAGTAGGTTTTGACAGGTTATGATATCTGGAGGCAGGATGAAGGGGAGCTGTGGAAAGTTTCCCTCGAAACTTTGCAATGAATAGACAGTATGATAAAGAAGTGAAATATAAAGTACACTGAGAAAATAAAATATAATAACGATTGTTACAGCACAATGTGGAATTTTCAAATGCTCTTGGTTAAAATCCTAATAATTCAAATGCCTTGTTTATAACTTAGTTCCACGCAAAACTTAAGGATTATTATAGAAGGCCCATCAAAATTCCATAGCATTTTAAAAGTGTCCATCTTAAACTCAGGCACAGAACTTATATTCTACTGGTTTCTAATTATGCTTTTTTTCCTGCCTATCCTTTGTTCAGGCTCATCATGACGGAGATGTGGGACTCAAACTCTTCAGAAAACTGGCATCACATTTGGAGTGTCAATGACACAAAGCACCATCTGAACTCAGAAATTAATATTTTCTATGTGAACTACTATCTTTACGAGCCTCAAGTGGCAGCAATCTTCATTATTTCCTACTCTCTGATCTTCTTCCTGTGCATGGTGGGAAATACAGTGGTTTGCTTTATTGTCATGAGGAACAAACATATGCATACAGTCACTAATCTCTTCATCTTGAACCTGGCAATAAGTGATTTACTAGTTGGCATATTCTGTATGCCTGTCACACTGCTGGACAATATTATTGCAGGTATGTTGACTTGCGTGCAGTGGTGCCAAGATGATATGAGATGTTTGTCCCATATCCTTGCAGCCATGGCAGGGTCACCCACTCATTCACAAGTATTTACAGAGTTCCAAGAACTGCTCCAGGTACCTGCCCTCATGAAGTCTACACCCCAAAGGAGGAGAAAGAAAATAAACAGATAGATACATAAGCAGTCAGAGAATAATAAGATTTATGGAGAAAAATAAAGCAAGTGACAGGGATGAAGAGTGGAAGCTGTTATTTTTATAGAGCGTTGACTGAAAGTCATCAGAAAATGAGATCTGGCACTTCTTGCTGAAGACTTTGAATTTTCTTAACACAGTTTAGGGCATATATAATATGATAGAAATGTTACTGAGAATATTACGGACTGTAAAGTTCAAGGAACTGGTAAGTCTGTTTTCAATTGACGCAATGTCTTCAATCTAACATAAATAGATATTTAGGCCCTCTTGTGGTTATCTGGGGAGATTTCCAACATGGAGCAGCAGTCCCAATGATTTCTCAAAAAGTGGTAGTTTCATCAGTGGTAATTTGCATGTGCAACAGAAATAATGGCTAGGGTACCACCCTCAAGTACTTCTGGGCCCACATTACCACTACTTCTTTCACACTACCTTATACACTCCAGAAGTACAGGAACAGTGTACCTACAGCTCCAAGTATAGTTTTGGCACATAGTACTTGTGTAATAAATATTTTGGTATTAATTAATGAACAATACTCAAGATATTCATATTCCAAATCTGTATAAAAAAATGAAACAATAGGGGCTGGCCCTGTAGCGCAAGTGGTTAAGTGCACACGCTCCGCTGCGGAGGCCCAGGGTTCGCTGGTTCGGATCCCGGGTGCGCACCCACGCACTGCTTGGCAAGCCATGCTGTAGCAGCATCTCATATAAAGTGGAGGAAGATGGGCACGGCTGTTAGCCCAGGGCCAGTCTTCCTCAGCAAAAAAAAGAGGAGGATTGACAGATGTTAGCACAGGGCTGATCTCCTCACAAAAAAAAAAAAAAAAAAGAAACAATAGTATCATGTCAAAAATATTTAGAGCAGCATGAGCCATATCCTACTTCTTATCCCTTCATAGCATTCAGCATCAGTTCACTGAAGAACAGGAGGTTTCTCTTTAGAGTTTATCTGTTTCCTTCCTTTCCCTGGAGTGGGAGTCAGGGAGAATTTATAGAGTGCCTATTCTATCATCATATACTGCATTCTGTGTTTTTGTGATGCTTATCATTGAAAACAATATTTATTCAGGATGTACATTTTTAAGATACTGTGTTAGACAAAAAGAAAGTGAAAGAATTGATAAAAAATTACTGTTATTGCTCTCAAGAAACTTATTTCACCAATAAGAAATACTCCCAACATTTCCCCATAAACATTTATAATTAAATTAAATTACTTTAAAATTTTTCCATGTGCATTACCCTGATTCCCATTCCCAGAAAGCAGCCACTTTCAGCATTATTTGCCTTTATTTTTGGTAATTACTACCATATTTCTAAATAGCATGTTTTCATTTTAATGTGTTATGTTCAAACTGTGGAAGATGCAATTTAGTTCTCATAATCCTTTTCTATCATACAAACACAAATGTGTTTTTCACACTCTTTACCTCCTCTCATTATCTCAATATAATTATATTATAGTTTTTGCTTAAATCAATATTCAGAGTATACATTCCTATTATTTATGTAAATTACCCCTGCTGAGCCATGTAGAAAGCTATATCAATTTCACTTTTGTAAAATGTTTTTTGTTTTCCTGGATTTACTAAGGGCATCATATTTTGATTTGTTTAGTTTTTGGTGTGTACCTATCTGCAATGTATCCTCAAGTTCTCTTCCAGGAGTGTCAATTTCTTGTTAATATCTTCAACCATATCAGGTAACCTTAACTTGCGTCTTTTTCCTGGAGATACCCTCCTGGAGCTCTCTATCCTCCTGTTGCTCTCCAGGCCTCCTGTTATCCTCCAGGAGCTCAGCTACTGCTCTGAGACCCTAACAATTCTCTTCACTTCTCTTTGTGCTCAATCCGCTGTTTTCTGAGCCATTTCTTCTTCTTTCTTGGTTTATTCCTCTGTCAGCTTCCTGAGAAAGGGTGCATTGAGGTAAAATGTTTGAAATCTTGCATGTCTGCAAATATCTTTATTCTGCCCTCACTCTTGATTAGAGTTAGCTGTATAAAGTATCCCAGGCTGGACGTTTTTTCCCCTCAAAATTTTTAAAGAGATTACTCTGTGGTTACTGCTGAGAAACTTGGTGTTACTGCTGAAAAGTCTAATGCCGTTTGGCTCTTGCTTCTTTACTCATGATTTGTATTTTGTTTGTCTTCCTGAGAACTCTTAGGGCTTCTCTTTATCCCCAGTGTTCTGAATTTCAGGCATTTATGCCTTGGATAAGTCTTTTTATTTTTCATTTATTGCACTAGGCACACATTAGGTCCTTTCAACCAAAAAATAGAATGCTCTTCAATTCTGGGGAATATTCTTGTAGAGTTCTTTTCCATTTTCCTTTCTTCAACTCATATTAACCAGATATTGGAAGTTCTAGTTACTCTTTTTTTATCTTTTTCTTCTGTTTTCTGCTTCTTATTGTTTTACTTTAAAAGATTTTCTCAACTTTCTCTTCCAGACTTTGAGTTGTTCGTTTCTGTTATCATATTTTAAATTCTTTGAGCTATTTTTATTTTCTGCATGTTCCTTATACTATCATGCACGTTTCATAGATAAAATGTGTTGTATCTCTGAGGTTATTAGTAATAATTTTTTTGTGTTTTTCATTTTTCATCTCTCTGATTCATATTGGTTTTTCTCCTAAGTTTCTTTCTTCCTAGTTGTTTTAGTTGCTTTCTTTTATACTTGAGGTTTCCCTAATGTCAATTGCTATAGCTGCTTGTGTTCAGAGTGAGGCACTGTGTGGATGCCTTAAACCTCTGCATACCTGGGGTTTGAGGGTAGGTCCACTCTCACTTTCATTAGTCTGGGCCATTTATTGGCCACAACTGTCAAAATCTGCATGTCAGTGTTCTTGGAAGGATCACTTTCCCCAGAAGGAAATTCTCTGATCTACTGCCAAAGGAATATCAGGCTGGCTGCCGCAGGACGTTGCTGAGTGGGTCTCTGGGCCAGTGGTGTTGCATGCAGAGCATATATTTTCACTTATTCCTTCTACGTCTTTGTGGCACCTCCTCCACCTGCACCTGGTGACTCAGTCTGGAGCCCCTGTGCTTCCACCTCCTTAGAGAGGAACTTCCTTTCTTCTGCCTACCTGGGGAAAAGCCAGTGGCATCTGATTGCATTTATACAGAATTCAGTCGCTTGTGTTGTTTTTCCAACTTTACATTCAGTAGTATGCGGCACCTCAGTTCCTCTGGATTTATGTTCTTTTGGCCCTAGCACTGTCATTTCAGTGGAGGTTAGTGAGGGAGGTGAGATCAATCATGTGCTTATTCTTCCATTTTCAACCAATGGCTGTACACACTCCTTTTTGCATTTTTGTGGAAAAATAATACTATAGCAACCAAACAAATTTTAGGACCGGAAAGACATGCTCTCTTTTGATTTCTATTCCGTAGAGTCGGGCAAGCACCTATTTTAAGAAGGTCTGCATAGATAATAAAATGTTTTATTCAGATATACTTGGATTATTTAGATTATTGGGAATATTTTAAACTAGATAAGAATATTTTTAAAAATAAATTGTAGAATATTTTTTAAGACATAAATTTTTAAGATCTGGGAAATATGAAGCATTTATCTTTTGGAAAACTAGAATATTTGTTAGTGGAAGAATATTATTACTTTCCTGTAATAGCAGATGGGTGTTTAAAATATTAAACTGCTATAATAATTTTACTCATTCATTTTATAAACAGCCTGGTAGCTGAGGCTCAGTTATGAAATAATTCAAACAGACTGCTTTTGTTCATGCAAAGTGCTCTTTATTCTCAAAGAATGTTTTAGTCAGCTTAGCTACTATAACAAAATACCATAGACTGGGTGGTTTAAACAACAGACATTTATTTTCTTTCCATTCTGGAGTCTAGAAGCTAGAGATCAGAGTGCCAGCAGGGTCAGGTTCTTGGTGAGGGTAATTTTCCTGGTTTGTAGACAGCCACCTTCTTGCTCTGTGCTCACGTGGCCTTTCCTCAGTTCATGCGTGTGGAGAGAGACATCTCTCTCTCTCTCCTCCTCTTCTTATAAGGGCACTAATCCCATCATTTGGGTACCACTCTCACGACCTCATCTAAACCTAATTATTTTCCAAAGGCCCCATCTCCAAATACCATCACGTTGGGGGTTAAGTCTTCAATATATGAATTTAGGGAGGAGGGACACAAACATTCACTCCATAACACAGTGTCTCTGAGGTAAATTGTCTCATTACATTATATACAAATGAGTATTAACTTTATTTATTCTGCATATAACTCCTGATTCCTCATAATTTATAGGGTACATTTCCAAGTTAGAAACCCATATTCTTCCTGTTTTATTATTTAAAGGGCGTTATTGCATAAGAGTTAATGGTTTGGACTCTAGAACCATACTGCTAGGGTTCAAATCCTTAATATGCTGCCAACTAGCTGTGTGGCAAGATATGTGATATTTGTGGGTTTGTTACCTAGTCTATATTATGAGGAGAAAAATAAAGCATTCAAAAGCTTGCTGTGGGGATTAGACATATTAATAGATGCAAAGCACTTATTACAGTGCCTAGAATGTTGTAACTACTATATAAGTTTTTTTTTTTTAATAATTTTTTTATTTATTTATTTTTCCCCCAAAGCCCCAGTACATAGTTGTATGTCATAGCTGCACATCCTTCTAGTTGCTGTATGTGGGACGCGGCCTCAGCATGGCCGGAGAAGCAGTGCGTTGGTGTGCGCACGGGATCCGAACCCGGGCTGCCAGCATCGGAGCGCACGCACTTAACCGCTAAGCCACGGGGCCAGCCCTACTATATAAGTTTTGACATTATTATTAGTATACTGAAAAACAGGGCTGTGGAGATGATATTAATGAAAATGATGGGAAACATTGATTGTTCCCTGGATATCATTTGGGAAACAGTTGCTTCAGTCTTGATTTCATGCCTTTCTGTTCATATTTTCAGTGAAATTAAAAAACATGTATGATCTTTTCAAAGACTAACTGTTCCATTTCCTTTTCAGGATGGCCATTTGGAAGCACAATGTGCAAGATCAGTGGATTCGTCCAGGGAGTATCGGTTGCAACTTCCGTCTTTACTTTAGTTGCAATCGCAGTGGACAGGTAGGTCAGCACCAAAACCTGAGTCCAGAAAAACGGGCATGTCTGCATCTAACCCACTAAACCAGAGAAAAGTGGTAAACTTGGGTATATCTGCCCAAAATTGTGTCCATAATATTCACCCCTTTAAAAGCAAGGCTTATGTCTAACAAAGATTCAGTAATAAGAAAATAAAGCTACTGAAATTTCTATATCTTAAAATTAAATAATATGGGATGATACATGTCTTAATTCAGGCTGCTATAATGAGATACCATAGACTGTGTGGCTTGAACAACAGAAATTGATTTCTCACAGTTCTGAAGTCCAAGATCAGGAGGCCGGTAGATTCAGTGTCTGGTGAGAGATCTCTTCCTGGTTTGTAGAAAGCCATCTTTTCGTTGTATCCTCACGTGGTAGACGGCAGTAGCTCTAGTCTCTTTCTCTTCTTAAAAGGGCACTAATCCCATCAGGAGGACTCCACCCTCTTGACCCTATCTAAATCTAATTACCTCCTGAAGGTCCCACATCCTAATACCATCTCATTGAGGGTTAGGGTTTCAACATGAATTTTGAAGGGACACAAATATGCAGTCCATACTAGTATAATATTACTATTTTTCAAACTAGAATCTTGAATTTTCTAATGGTAAAAATGTAAATGTGCTGAAATAATCTGAAATTTTATCCATCTTATAAGATAAAATTCATTAATACATTCATTTACACTTATTGTCGGTTATGCCAGATCTTGGGCTGGGTTGTGTAGCATCTAAAACAAATCAGACAAAGTGCTCTTCAAGAAATCCACAGTCTGGTAGAGGCAGACAGACACATTAACAAATACTTGCAGATAACGTTCCTAATGTGGGTCCAGTAGACAACAGCTGTGCAAAGAAGAGCGTGATCAAGTTACCAGTCAGGACGGGAGTGGTGGGCTCCCAGAAGAGGTGATATCTGTCTAAATCTTGAGGGATTAGAAATTTACCATGGGAAGAATGGGGGAAAGGACATCTCTGAAGACAGGGATATGTATAGGTCACTTGAAATAGGAGGGCTTTTGTCCAAAGATGTGCAGAGAGGCAGTTCAGCTGGAACATGGGAGGCTGGAGTGGAACATTAGGCCATAGAAAGGGGCAAGAAGTAGATTTTCTATGGGCCTATCTTCCATTTTAAAAAGTTTAAATTTTGTCCTGAAGTCAAAAGGGAACTACTGAAGTCTTTTAAACAGGGGGAAAGTGACTACATTTTCATTTTAGAAAAACAGGTAGAAAGGGTTTAGAGTTGTGTAAGATTAGAGAAAGGGAGAGCAGCTAAAAAACTTTTGTTAACAACTCAGATGGGAGAGGATGCACACATCTACTAAGACAGTGGCAATGGCATTTCAGAGATATTTGAGAGGGAAACTGAACAAAGACCTGGAAGATGTTTCCCTAAGTGGAGAAATTGGTCCAAAGAAGAAAACAACCAGGAGCCAGCCCTGTGGCCTAGTGGTTAAGTTGGGCACTCTCCACTTCTCCAGGTTCAGTTCCCTGGCACGGACCTACATCACTCGTTGGTGGGCATGCTGTGATGGTGACCCACATGCAAAATAGAGGAAGATTGGCACAGATGTTAGCTCAGGGTGAATCTTCCTCAGCAAAAAACAAAACAAAACAAAAAAAAACAACCAATCAATAACACATATATAATAGAGAGAGAGTGTGTTTAAAAAAACATGAAATGCAATAGAATTGCTGACATCAAAAAAACAACTTGGTAGATTCTATTTTTAATATTAATATATTATTTGCATCATTATTTACAATGTTTTAATCTATTTCCAAGAACCTATCATGTAGATCTAGTTTATCTGGTTTACAGATAAAGGGAATAGAATTTAAACATATGCTAACCACTATATGCCAAAGATATCTTTTTACATTAAAATTTGGGAGCTAATTATTTCCAAATTTACTATATCCTGTTACTATTATTATACTAAATTATTTTTTACATGCTACTTATTTATACTAATACTTATACTCATTTTATACTAGTAAGTAGTACTACTACTGTTAAAGTTATTTTGATGTGAATGTTTATAAAAAATTCTATACCTTAATTATATAATTATATATGTCATCTTGACAGTGAATAAAAAACTATAATATCCTTTGCGTTTTCTACTTGCATCCTGAGCTTATCAAGTTTGCTTCCACATTATATTTAGTATTAAATATCCCTAAATTCCTTTTTCACTGTTTCTAGCATGCCTCCTATACAGAAACATTGCTATTCATTCTAAACAGTAAGTGAGGTTAGAATAATAAATGTCATGCTATATTTATTTGATGGATAACTGTAGAGTGGTTAAAATTAATGAAGTAGGTCAACATATATAAAAATACATAAATCTCAAAAGCATATAATCTCAAAAAAGAAGTTACATAATGATACATAGACTATGGTGCCATCATATAAAATTTAAAATGTTATAGATGCAGACTCATGCTATAGAAACACATTGACAGGAAGGGTACATAGCAACTTCAGGATTTCTGGGGAAAGAGGAAGAGGAATAGGATTGAGAAGATCTACCAAGAGAATTTCAACTGTATCTGTAACGTTTTATGTCTTAAAAAGTGACAAAAATATAGTCACCTGCTGTTACTGATGGTTTAAATTATACTCTTTACTATCTGCCTTCCCATCCATGTATCACTTCTCTATAGTTTCAGTTATCTATTGTTATATAATGAGTCACCTCCCAAAACAAACCACTTAGTGGCTTAAAATGACAGCAGGCTCAGCGCGTATAGCTTGTCTCTACTCCACTTGGCATCAGGTGGGGAGCTCCAAGGCCAGGGCGGAAGGGCCTCTCACTCTCTTCTTTGGGCCTAGACTGGAAGACTTGGACAGCTAGAAGATAGAGCTGGGGCTTCTCAGGCACTCTGTCTGGTATCTCCCCCTGGGCTCTGCAGCACAGCCCATATTCAAGGAGAAGGGAATAGAATTTGGAAGGACTGTCAAAAATTTGGACATATTTTAAAACCACCACACTTTTATCTCTATCTAAACTACTTGAACTGAATGCTTTTCTCAGAGTCAGCTCTGGGATGCAGCCAAATTACAAAGAAAAAACTTTAAAATCTATTTCTCCAGAATTTTATACTTATGTTCAAAATACCTACTGGGTAACTTCACCTCTACATCCAACAAGCATCTCAAACTCAACATGCCCAGAACTGAATTTGTCTTCACTACCATTCCCCCAAAAAAACTAAACAAAAAAATCAGCTCATTTTCTCATTTTCCCCAATCAGTGTATGGCTGGATCACTCATCCAGTTCAAATGAAAATCTTGAGATTTGTGCCTGAAACTTCCTTCTCTCTTCAACTTCTATGTAGCCACTCTTCAAGTCCCATCAGTTTTGGGTACTAACTGGTCCTGAACCAGGCCACTATCCTTTGTTGCTTCAGATAGGATACTGAGATTTTTTTCTAACTGGCTGTGATAATTAATTTTATGTGTGAACTTAACTGAGCCACAGGGTCCCCAGATATTTGATCAAACTTTATTCCAAGTGTGTCTGTGAGGGTGTTTTTGATGAGACTGACATTTGAATCAGTAGACTGAGTAAAACATATTGCCCTCCTTGCTGTGGGTGGGCCTTATCCAATCAGTTGAAGGCCCAAATAGAACAAAAAAGGCTAATCCTCCTGCAAGTAGGCAAGAACTCCTCCTGCCTGACTTTTTGAGCTGGAACATCAGTCTTCTCCTGCCTTCAGACTTCAACTGAAGCATCAGCTCTTCTGGAGTCTCGAGCCTGCTGGCTTTCAGACTGGAACTGGTGTCAGTGGCTCTCCTGGTTCTCAGGCCTTCAGACTTGAGCTGGAACTACACCATTGACTCTCCTGGGTCTTCACTTTGCCAACTGCAGCTCTTGAGGCTTCTCAACCTCTGTAATCACATGAGCCAATTTCTTATAATAAATTTCTTTCTATATATTTATACACCCTGTTGGTTCTATTTCCTGGGAGAACCCAGACTAAGGCACTGGTGAAGTCCAAAAGTCTAGCATGATTTTAGCATAATTACACAATACTTCCATTGACTATTTCCTGGCAGGGAGCATTTTCTATCTTGTTCATCTTTGCCTCTCTGAATACATATGTGTTTGTCGAAAGAATAAGTGAAAAAGTAATATTGGAAGCCCCAATAGTTGGTTTATAAAAAAAGCAAAATACCTAGCACTGTGCCTATGAAGTTACCCATAATTTAATGGAGGATTCACTAATTAGAAGACTAGAGTAAAACTTGGATGCTAAGACAGAAGACTTACACATGTAATGAAGGAGTTCCTAAGGAGGAAAACAGAGCAGTGAAAGCTCAAGCTAACTAGTCATTGTATGAAGATATGTCAGATAAATTAATTTGGAGTTACTGCTGGGCTACTGAAAAACTCTAAGTTTCCATATCTGCAGATCTGGAACATATTAATTTTCATAACATTTCAGTTTTATAGTGTCGTCACAAAATGAAAGAAGATTAAACACATTATTATCCTGTGATTATAATTATAATATTATGTATATTATAATTATAATACCGTGATTATAAACTCCGTATGATTATCTCATGATTAACTTAATGAGTACCAATAATAACAACATCAAGAATCACAATAACAAAATAGCAGTAAAATGAATCAGACTTACACTACATGCTGATGTTGAATTTCCATGCTCATCAGAGAACGCAGAACATCGGGAAGGCACAGAATCAGAACTCATAGTGGAAACTCGCAGACTCTTACAGTTGTGAAACAAATCACCAAAACACTGTTTGGCTTAAAACAATAATGCTGTAACATTTCTCACAATGCTGTGGATTGGCTAGGTGCCTCTGCGTGGGTCTCCTGCTCCTGTGTTGTAGCTGAAACCACTCGTGCTTCCGCTTACGTTCAATTGGCCAAAGCAAGTTGCCAGATAATGGTGGAGGGGACCGCAGAAGGGCATGAAGGATAGTTTAAGAATATGGGCTCTGGAGCCAAATTACCTGTGTAAAAATCATGTGTAATAATGGGCAAGATTTTTTACCGTTTCTAAGCCCATTTTCCCATCTTTTAAATGGGGAAGGTTAAAGAGACAGTTGATGCAAACCAATGGGAAAGAACCTGGAACAGAATGTTAAATGTTCATGTTCCATATATGCTAGTTACCACTATTACTTTTACTATTAGTAGTGTCTGATATACTCCACTTAGTCATATTTTTAATTGAAATTTATCTCAAATATCAATTACAGAGAATGGCAATGTATGCCTTTCTACTACTAACGGTAACTTTCTATGTTTTTGAGGGGAATGTGGGTGGGAGACTGTAATTACTTAACTAAATTTTATTCACAACTCGGTCATAATCAATGCCTCACTGATATTTGCCTTTAATTGCAGGTTCCGGTGTGTTGTTTACCCTTTTAAACCAAAGCTCACTATCAAAACTGCATTTGTCATTATTGTGATCATCTGGGTCCTGGCCATCGCCATTATGTCTCCATCTGCAATAACGTTACATATTCAAGAAGATAAATATTTCCGAGTGAGACTCGACTACCAGAATAAAACCAGCCCAGTCTACTGGTGCCGAGAAGACTGGCCAAAACAAGAAATGAGGAAGATCTACACCACTGTGCTGTTTGCCAACATCTACTTGGCTCCCCTGTCTCTCATCGTCATCATGTATGGAAGGATTGGAATTTCACTCTTCAAGGTGTCAGTGCCCCACACAGGGAAGGAAAACCAGGAACAGTGGCACCTGGTGTCCAAGAAGAAGCAGAAGGTCATTAAGATGCTCCTGATCGTGGCCTTGCTTTTCATTCTCTCCTGGCTGCCCCTGTGGACTCTGATGATGCTCTCAGACTATGCTGACCTGTCTCCAAATGAACTGCAGGTCATCCATGGCTATGTCTACCCTTTTGCACACTGGCTGGCCTTTTGCAACAGCAGCATCAACCCCATCGTTTATGGTTTTTTCAATGAGAATTTTCGCCGTGGTTTCCAAGATGCTTTTCACCTCCAGCTCTGCCAAAAAAGAGCAACACCCAAGGAAGCCTACGCCCTAAGAGCTAAAAACAATGTAGTCATAAATACGTCTTGTCAGTTAGCCCAGGAACCCACAATTCAAAACCCACATGAGAAAAATTGGCTTTGCAGGAAAAGTGCTGAAAAACCCAAGCAGGAATTAATGATGGAGGAATTAGGAGAAGCTACCAATAGCAATGAGATTTGACAAGAGCTAGTGTGATGATTTTCACTCTACTGTGTTGTATATTGAACTACTGTTGCTTTCTGTGGCTTTGCGCTTCAATTCTTTCTAAGAATATTCTAAACAAATATGTACCGAAAGCTCTTTCTGGAAAAAAAAAATAAACAAAATGGTCTTATGTTCATAACCAATCTTATGGTATATAAAAATATGTACAGTAACTCATATACAAATTTGCCTGAATAAATCCATTTTCTAGGAACAGTTTTCAAAGACTGACCTTTTCCAACTTAGCCATTTGGGTATGAGTCAAGCACACGTACTATGTGTATAGATACACATGCATACACACACACACACACACACCTATTTTCCCCGAATGGTGATAAATGGGCAGTTCTTTGCATGAGAGTACATTTTGTCAATTCTTTCTTTGCTTTTGGATTTGAAATTTAGATGACAGATTTATTTATCTGTGCTTGTAAAATGTACTTAGTTTTCTTAGAAATAAGAACTGCAATAGAAAATAAAGACACATTGTATTTCTTTGTATTTAAAGGTTGGTTTTTTTCCCTTTAAAGTTGGTAAAATTGTAACATGGTTCCATAGGAGTTATTGTTAGTTTTTTACTATTTTAAGAAATGAAGTTTATGCCTTAGCTGAACCCATCTTTCTTACAGAGGTGATTCAGGACCCCATCTTGACCCCCATTTTTAAATAGAATCTCTAACAGAAAGAAGCAAATCTGTCTTCTTCTTTTTTTTTTTTTTTGGTGAGGAAGACCAGCCCTGAGCTAACATCCGATGCCAATCCTCCTCTTTGTTGCTGAGGAAGACTGGCCCTGGGCTAACATCTGTGCCCATCTTCCTCTACTTTATATGGGACGCCGCCACAGCATGGCTTAACAAGCGGTGCCTAGGTGCGCGCCCGGGGTCCGAACCAGCGAACCCCGGGCCGCCGCAGTGGAGCACGTGCACTTAACCGCTTGTACCACCGGGCCAGCCCCAAGAAGCAAACTTAATAATACAGCAGTTGGCAGAAGAATGGCAGCTCTCTTTGGAAGTGCTTAATCAGAGATGTTCAGCAATTTTCATAAGACTCCCATAAAGTTTGTACAGAGCAAGACCAGTTATTCCAGATTTACTACTGGGCACAACATTTAAATCCAGCACTCCTACTAGGTTAGTCAATTAGTACTACTGTTAAAAAGAGAATTGAATTCTGCTGCTACAATTATGTAATAACAATAGTTGCAAATGCTAGCTTTTATTCTAGAGTGAGATAAATCCCTAGAAAATTGGGAATTATAAAATAACAAATAGTTTGGCAAATAAAAATAAATCTCAGGGCTTGGAACTATTATGTTTTTCCAGTCATTTATGTAGTTCAAGCTAAAAGCTTTTCAATGTTGTAGGCCCTTGAGAAAATAATTGTTGAGTTTTTTGATTGAATTCAGCTTTGTGATATTTGAACATGCAAGTGTTATTTCCTGTAATCAGAGAGGGTAACTTTTTGGAGGTTTAGGTATAGAATTGATCTTGTATTCCTCTGCCTTGATTTGCTGAAGTACTATTTACAGTTGGTGTACTTAGATGTTGAAGATTATTTTGTTAGAAACTATCACTTTCTGGTGGGCATCGTCACATTCTACCACCACCTGAAACTCATCATAACTAAATCCCATACCCTTACCTGTCATCTCTCTACCCTTTATCACCTTGAACCCCTCATTACCTCTTCCCTAATGGTTGCAAAACTCTCCTCACTGAATCCCATCCTGACTTTCAGTCTTCAGTCTTTCAATTCTTTCTATAGTCAGCCGAGTCATCTTCCTGAAGTAGAGGAGTAACTAGCTCTCCTTTGTAAAAATACCTTCAGAAGCTCTCTGCCTATTAAAACACTTTGAAACACTCAAAGCTCACCACAGCCTGGCTCTTGTCTCCTGATAGCATATCTGGCACAAATTGTTTTCTAAACTTCCAACAAAGATGGTCAAACAGAGATGGTCAGACTAGATAATTGTGTTTTTTCATTTATGACTTATTCTCTGCTTTGTACCTCTGTCTGCCTGTCCATTCTTTGTCGAAGGTCTATTAAAAAGGTACCTCTCATAAAGTCTGTGAATTCTTACAGCAGAAGTGTTTACTCTCTCCCCTAAGCATTGTGTACCTCTTGTATGACAACCTAACTTGTATTGTAATTGTTCTCTCTTGTCTTTGCAGCTAGAATAGAGACCCTCAAGGGCATGATGAATCAGGCCTTACTCATCTTCAGGTGCCCTACAGTGTAGATCACCATAATAGACAGTCCTACGTATATGCTGGTTAATTATCACAGGCAAAGGCCATCTGTCAGTTAGTTGACTTTAGGGAAATGTCTAGTGCTGAATGAGTAGATTTCTGCATAAAGATTCTAGCACACATTACATACAAAAGAGAGCTTTTCTACATACAAAAGAGAGCTGTTTGCCCAGGTTTTCTGTAAATTGGAATAACAAAGGCAAAAGATGAAGAGAGCTAAAATGTCTCGAATATGGATAGTCACTAAGAATTTGGATTCTGGAATCATACAGAACTTGCCACCTACTAGCTTAGTGCTATGGACAAATTGTCTATGCCTCCATTTTCTCATTGTAAGATGAGAGTAACAACAGTTTCTTTCTTTTGGTTTGCTGTGAGTGAAAAATGATAGGGGAAAAAAGCTTGTAAAGTAAAAAGCAGAGTGACTGTCATATAGTAAGAGCTAAATCGTTGTTGCTGTTTGGATTATATGTAGAAGCAGTAACAGTAGTATTTAGTAGTGATTACGATATTTCACAATACATGTTCACAATACATGTTTATTTTACATGTTTTATAATCCTCACAAGAGCACTCTGAAATATGCATTATTATCCCCGCTACGCAGATGAGGGCACTGAGTCTAAGAGAAATTGGTTTGTCCAAAGTCATGAAGCTTGAAAGTAGCAAAAGAAGACTATGACTCAGATATATGTGTACAATTCCAAAACCTTTTTTTAACTTTATTATTTCTTCTACATCATATCTATGTGTTATGATGAAGTTGTTTTAGACTTCTTCAATAACCATTTTTATGATGATAAAAGTAATAAAAATTATATTATATAAATACAAAAACAGTTGTTACAAAAATACCACCTGTTACTTGTAGAGTTTTCAAGAAATATGAATAATACAAAATTACACATAATTCTTCTACAAGAAAAAAAAACGCTAAAACACTTAGTCTAAACAACACTTGGATCAGCATCCTGTACATATGTCTTTGCCAAGAGTGGTTATTTAAGAGTGATTATTTTGTCATTGCCCATCTCACAGTATCCTTAATACACATTAAATCTCTTTCTTCAACTTTGCTACTTTAATTATGAAAATTCTTTTAAATTTGCTTTGATAACTAGTGTAGCTGAACATTGTTCTGTGTTTCCTACTAATTTGTATTTCTTCCTTTGCTTCTGAGTTTTGCACTTGTTTTCTTCCTGCCAGCAATGTTCTCCCCATTGCCCTTCACAGCCTGGCTCTCTCTCATCTTTCAGGACTCAACCTAAAACTCACCAGAGTCTTGTCTATTTCCTTCATAGAAATTCTCATTATCTGTAATTATCCTCAGAACTCATTTATTTACTTGTTTACTATCCATATGCCTTACCAGAAAGTAAACTCCATAAGTGCAGGGACTTTTGTCTTCTTTATTATTGCATTTCCATTGCCTAAAAGAGTGCTTGGCACATAATGGAAACACAATAAATGTTTGTTGCACAAATTAATTAATAGGTTGCAAATATTTTCCAGTTTTTAATTTGCCTTCTAACTTATTCATGATTGAGTCATATTCTATTTTCAGATATTAAAGATAATTCAGAATATAATAGAAATATTGGATAATATAAAAAAGTAGATGAAGTAAAATGTTTCTTATCTAGTCACTTAGTGATAACCATTCTTGCTGCCATTTTGGGGCATGTGTACATTTTCTTTTAAAAAGTTATGATTCTAGGGGATATATTTTATAACTTTTTATTCATGTAGTGTATCAAGAACATATTTCCATGTCTTCAAAATATTTTATTCATATTAATGCCATTCCATAATTTATTAAAGGTCTTCTTTGTGGCTGAAAATATAAGTTATTTCCTAAATCTGTAAAATGATGCAGTTATGTACATCTTGTATAATACTGGGCATATTTATGATTATCTTAGAATAGATTTACAAGAAATGCAATTGCGTAGCCAAAATGCATGTACATTTCTTAATGTTTTAATACATATTGTCAAATATTTCTTAAACAGATTTCAACATTCTATACTTCCATTAGTGGTATAAAAGAGTTTGTTCACTCACACACTCAAATATTGCATATACATAAAATGAATTTTTCTTGCCCATTTGATAAGAGAAAACTTGTATCCCCATGTTTAATTTCATTTCATTGTTATACAGCTGAATATTAAAATAATCTTTATTCGATTTGATTTATTTGTATTCATTTGCATTTCCTTCTTAGTCAATTCCCTCTTCATGTCCTTTGCCCACTTTTCCTTTAGATTATTTGATTTTTTTTCTCAGTGATTTGTAAAACCACTCTCTAATTCAGGATAATTATCCTTGACTATCAGACAGGTTTCAAACATTTACCCTATTTGATGTGCAACTTCGTGTGTCTATGTATATGTGTAGATATGAGGATAGAGGTTAAGTTACTATGATAGGGTCCAGAAATACACTGGCTTAAAGTAGATAGATGTTAATTTCTCTCTCATAAAATTGTACCTAATGTCAGTGGACCAGTTTAGCAGGGACCTTTTTTAGGAATCCATATTCCTTCTTTCTGATTGATGCTTTACCCTCCTAGAGCAGGAGTCAGCAAACCACTACCAAATCCAGCCTGCCAACTGTTTTGGTAAATAAAATTTTATGGTACGCAGCTCTGCTCACTTTTTACGTATTGTCTGTGTGTACTTGTGCACTATAATGGAAGTGTTGAGTAGTTGAATCAAAGACCAGATAGCCCACAAAGCCTAAAATATTTACTTTCTGGCCAGTTCTGGAAAGTTTGCCAATGGCTGCCTTGGAGTGTTTTCCTTTCTCCACAGTCAAAGCTGACCAATAGGCACATTCATATGTCAGAACATGAAAGGCGAAAGAAAGGAGGAGCTCCAGGGCAGGCAGCTTGTCTTTATATTGGGGATATCCTAGAAGGTTCATAAGTCACTTCCACTCACGTACAATGGGCTAAGTGTACTC